TTAGGTGTGCGTTAAGGAGGCAGCCTTATCAGCGGCGCACGAGATGCGATGACGATGTAAGTGTCGTTGCATTATAATGTTTTTGTTAGCCTATCCAGTTGAAGCCACTAGCTGTGGCGCTGATGCGTTGTTCATTAAAAATATAGTGGAAAAAGAGAACATCAATGCGGAGACGATCTTGTTTACATCAAAACCGAAACCAAGCCGTTCACACAGAACGCATATTTCACGCATTTTCTAGACGGACATCTATTACTGTTGCACTCGCGTCTCGCACATAAGAGCATCATGTTTAGAAAGCCATGTAAAAATAATGCAAGTTTAACTTTGCAAAAAACATATATCGAGACTTTATGGTGGGTTTTTCCCCATTCCACTGTGTCTCATGTTTTTAAATGAAAAAATTTACTCTGTGTGATTGGCTTTCCGCCCTTTGTATTAAACAATGCATACATATATGATGCTGTTTTGTTTATAGTTGTTTAAGCAACTTAATTATAATTGGTTTATAAACATTATTTTAAACATTATGCTTTTTTTCGCAGATAGTCATGTTATCTTATGCTTTGAATGATGCACCCTCTTGTGGCCTCAAGAGAGAAGCCAAAAGCTTTTCTTCACCCTAACTGAAATTATGCATTTTAAATTTGAATATAATAACAAATTTGATCATATTTAAGTACAAAATTCAGAATTTAGTTTTTCAGCCATTAGTTTTTCAGCCATGGCGGCAGCAACAATACTACAGCGAGAATAAAAGTTACGCCTTCTTTCTTTGCGTGAACATTTGGTCGGTGTTATGCAAATCTTCCCACATAGTGACGTAGACATGTGGGGGTGTGTTTAAACGAGGCGTTTTAGGAGGGTGTGGACAAGTCTTAACTTTTATAAAGAATATCTGTTTGGGTTTGAGACTTTAGTCTTTGCAACTTCAGGGATCTTATCGATGCACAAACAGCTTGTAACACTCCAAAGAGAAAGGAAAATGTGAAATTGCATCATATGACCACTTTAAGGGGAGGGACATTCATATTTTAGAAAGCATGTAATTAGACCAAAAGAATAAGGAGATGATGTCATCAATATTTTATTTTTGTTAATTTTTCTGAAATAGAAAGAATATAAATTTTAAATGCATAACTACTGTTCACCAATGCTGCATTTATTAATTCAAAAATACAGTAAACTGATAATATTGTGAAATATTAGTACAGTTTAATGTTTTCTGTTTTAATATATTTAAAAATTTAGCCTAATTTATTTCTGTGACGCAAAGCTGAATTTTCAGCATCATTACTCTATTTTTCAGTGTCACGTGATCCTCAGAAATCATTCTAATATGCTGATTTGCTGCTCAAGAAACGTTTCTGGTTATTATCAATGTTGAAAAACAGTTGTGCTGCTTCATATTTTTCTGTGATACTTTATGAGAAAAGTTCAAAACAACAGCATTTATTTGAGAGAGAAATATTTTGTAGAATTACAAATGTCTTTTACTGTCACTTTTGATCGATTTAATATATCCTTGCTGAATTAAAGTATTAATTTAATTAAAAAATATATATATATTTTTTAATTTTAATAAAAAAAAAAATACTGGCCCCAATTTTGAATGGTATATGCTAAAAATGATCTAGTTGAGAAAAAATGACTATCATATAGATACATTTATTTAAATATATAACACATAAAATTCACAGTAATAACGCATTATATTTGTAAATAAAATAATTTTATTGGGATAAAAAAAATGAATTGAGTGATTTTAGTTTTTATTTATTGTAGAAATGGTTATAGACTTTCACACCAAAATGCAACCTTCCCAAGGATGTGAGCAGGATGTTTACATAATGAGAATGAATGTCGTTTTATATTTGTATTTAAGAGTTTTTGGTGTCCAGACGGGCTTCATATTAGCGTTTGGTTTTAGGGATGAGTCTTCGTAGTTAGATGGATGGTAGGAAAGAGAGACGCAGGTGTGAAGAGAATTGGGAAGACTGAGAAATGGTGAACTGCTAACAGTGTGATAGACTGTGTGTGTTATTGTACAGCTGCAGTTAAACCATTTACAATCTGTCGCTTTATCAGGCAGGTCTGTCGGGCAGGAGAATGATTAACTAGTACTGCTAGTTTAAAGGTAAAGTGTCTTTTTTGGTGTTAAAATACTTTTGTATTTTAAATGTGAAGAGACAACAACAAGTCAGCAATTTATATTGATTTTTCATAGGAAAACTTTCGAATCATTGTTTAAAGGGTTTGACATGTCAACTTCTGGCTCGACCAATGGCACGAGTTTAGGGTGGGGCTATTTGTTTAACCAAACATTGACAAAACTCATTGGTAAACCTGTTTAAAAACAATCATCAGTGTTCCGAGCGTAAAGATTGGTTTTGAACAAATTTGGATGTTAAAACCAATAAACCATGGAAGAAGGAAGTTAATGCTGATTTCATGTTGACTTGAACCTTTGCTCCACACCACCCACTAAAAAGCACAAATGTTTTGGGGAAGTGCTTTGCCAGGGTGTATCCCTTTACCCCGATCCACAAAAAGGTCAACAAAACATGTGGCGTCACATCCTGTGTTATCATACATCAGCCGTCTAGTTTTGTCTCCACAACACAGAACATTATCTTTGTTCTCTGAAAGTACCTGTTGATCGATGAAATGTTTTGATTGAGATTTGTGTTGTAAATAGAGCAATTTTGCCACACAATGAAAGTTTGCTGGGTCAGAGCTTTACAGTGTCTGGACTGAAAGCGGTATCCATGGAAACCATCAGTAGTCCTCCTCCTTCACAATCGCAAGAATCTCTCTCTGTTTGTTTTTGACTTGTAGTTACTGGTGATTGCTGAGGCAAGCATTACTACTGTTGCTCACACTTAAAGGCACAATATGTAAGATTTTTTGATTAAAATATCCAAAAACCACTAGAACAGTGTTATATATTTTGCTGACTTGTGTACTTACATTATCCCAAATGTTTCGAAGAATGTTTAAATCCAGAGAAATAAGCTATTTTAACTAGTGACACAGACCGTGTCCATAGTGTCATTGTGTCGCCTGCCAATGAAGTCATAACCCCTCGATTTCCGGTTTTGTTTTGTAGAAAACAAGGAAATGCCAAAGACGCTTTAATATGTTGTGCATTTTAATAGACCGGTGACGACCGCACAGAGTAGCATTATAACTGAACTTTCAAATGTATCTAGTATAGGACTGCACGATAAATCGCATGCGATGTTTAACGCGCATCTTATCAGTAAAGCCGGTTCTGTAATCAGCGGTAAATCTCCATCACGTGCGTGCTTTCACATTGAGCAGCATTAACTACACAGAGCCGTTGTTCACTGATGAGCTGCGCAAAAAATCGCGCGAATATGAATGTGGTTTTACAGTGATTACAGAACCGGCTTTCTGACAAGATGCACATTAAATATTGTAATCACTGTAAAACCACATTCATATTCGCGCGATTTTTTGCGCAGCTCATCAGTGAACAACGGCTCTGTGTAGTTAATGCTGCTCAATGTGAAAGCACGCATGTGATGGTGATTTACCGCTGATTACAGAACCGGCTTTCTGACAAGATGCACATTAAATATTGCATGCTATTTATCGTGCAGCCCTAATCTAGTATGATAAAACAGCGCTGCTTTTTTCCCGACATACACACGACCGGAAGGAGCGGAAGCGGTCGACTGTGGCATAATAAAAGCTCCGCTGCTTTCGAGCCGTGTGTCACGCTCGCTCAGTGGCCTCGTTTCACATGGCTTTCAGCCTCACCCTGCTACATTCTACTACGTTAATAAATCATTAGCTCATCCATGAACATGATTTCTGCCAGAGTCCCTTCGGATTGCATCGGCTGTGGGGGATGAAGACGACAACTCCCATGATTCCACACTCAGTCACGGCGTTATCAAACTACGCCTTTGTCTATTTATTTATTTTGAATACGCGCCCTCCAGCGGCGAAAATTACATATTGTGCCTTTAAGCGCAGAGATTTGAACAAAACACTCTTTTACTTGGGCCTTTAAGCAACCATCCTAAACGCCGTAATATCTGCACTGCAACAGCTTGACAACTGGCCTAAACACCCTAGCATCTGCACTGCAAACCACCCTGAAAACCATCCTGAACACCCTAACATATGCAGTACAACCCTGAACACCCTAACAACTGCACTGCAACACCCTGAAAAACACCCTGAACACCCTAACAACTGCACTGCAACTGCCTGAAAAACACCCTGAACACCCTAACAACTGCACTGCAACACCCGAACAACGATCCTGATCACCCTAACATATGCAGTACAACACTCTTAACAACCCTAAACACCCTAACAACTGCACTGCAACACCCTGAAAAACACCCTGAACACCCTAACAACTGCTCTGCAACACCCGAACAACCATCCTGATCACCCTAACATATGCAGTACAACACTCTTAAAGGGGTCATATAATGCTTTTTTTAAAGATCCATCATTCTCATGGGTCACTTCCTCTTTGCCTTTCTTTTCCTCTTTCATAATTTCTCTCAATCCTCTCTCTCTAGAGTCTTATTCCTATCAGACCAGGTTCAGATTCAGTCTCTGATGCACAATTATAAAACTGATTTAAAAAATAGATCACCCAAAAATGAAATGATATTTGAATGGTGTGTTTGTCATGAAATGAGGCTGAGTAAATGGCAGAATTTTTCTTTCCTTTTTTTTTAAAAAATCACCGATCACAACAATATTGTTTGTTCTATGCTGTTGTTTTGTTTCTAATGTAAGCCGAGGAGTTTTTTCTGCAATAGAACTTCCATGCTTTTAGTGTGTGCATGTGTTCTGCCTTCTCTTTTGGCCTTGTGTTACTCTTGTCTTTTATTGCAGAATTGAAGAAGCGGTGAATGAGAAGTCTTACTGTGTGTGTGTGTGTGTGTGTGTGTGTGTGTGTGTCGTGTGTGTCAGGCAGTCCATAACTGGAGTGTGTTTGTGTGTTTCAGGGCAGTGATGCCGGGCATGGTACTGTTTCGGCGACGCTGGTCAGTCGGCAGTGATGACCTGGTGTTACCGGCTTTCTTCCTGTTCATACTACACTGCATATGGTGAGTCAGTATTTGTGTTTGTCTGTACAGTTTGTTCTTTTACATTCATGCATGAGTTAAGCAATCAAACCAGTAAACAATAAGCTCTTAGAGCCAGGACTGTGAGTTCAATAGAAGTCTTAAGAGTTGAATTTAGACATTCTGTCTTGCAATATAATAGCCGTTCCCAACCATTTGAATGAGTTGCACAATGATGTAAGTTATTTATTTGAAGTACACAAATATTTTAAACAATGTTTACCTTTTAAAATATAGTATATTTCATAATAGTTTTACATGTTGTTTACTTGTAATTATTATTAAATGTAAGTTTTTAGTTACAATTATTTTTAATTTCATTCAGTTTTAATGTTAGATTTTAGATTTGATATGTATACACATACGTACATATGTATATGATGTATATATGTCAGTGTTTCCCCTGCCATTATATTAGGGGGGCGGCCCTTAAGGTCAAGTTCATTTGATCTAATTATATTTTCTCTATAGCGCCAGACCACAACAGAAGTCATTTAAAGTTAACTTTCCGATAGAACATGTCATATTTAAATATGAATTCTGCGTGTCTCTGTGTCAATGAATGGCGCAGATGTGCAGTTTTGTTTACTACTCGTACTAAAGCGTGCGTGACACTTCCGGTGATATTAGAGTCTGCTGTTTTACTAAATGAGGACATAAATATATGAACAACATCTCCAGAACTGCTCTGAAAGTCACTTCATGAGCATTTGACCGTTTAATTTGAGTAAAACTATCCTCATATCATATACACAGAAATGTAAAGGTATTCACGGCAACCCGTCAAAATAAACGTTCGGTTTATATATTATATTATATATTATATATCAGAAATATATTACTATTGTTGAGTAGAATGTACGTAACAGGCTGCTGCTACTACTACTACTAAAATTATTAAAACCTTATTTTTAAGGAATAATCATACAATATTTCTTCAATGTTTTAATTGTAATATTAAATTACCTTTATTTTCCAAAAAATAAAATGTTTAATTTTCATTACTTAAAAGATAGATTCAATTAATGTTTTATGCCTTAAAAAATGTAAATACACAACACAGAATTTCTGAGCAAAAAGTCATATGGCTATTGTAAGAATAAATTAAACTTGTTTTTATGCTTTCAAATAATTAGACATGCTAAAACAGAATTTGGTAACAATAAAACATAAGGTTGGGGGGAAAAAAACATTTCATAGGGCCCTAAACATGTAATTTTTGTTAAACTTTTAAAGGGGTACTATTATGCTCTTTTACAAAGTCTTGATTTTGTTTTGGGGGTGTACTAGAACATGCTCTCATGCTTGGTGGTTCGAAAAACGCATTATTTTTCACATAATTTACATCATTAAAATACCTTTCTCCCCAGGCTGGCACAAACGGCTCGATTAGTTCCGGCTTTGATGAAGGTCCGCCTTCCGAAAAACAAAATGTGTTGTGATTGGTTAGCTGTCCCAGTGCGTTGTGATTGGCGAACAGCTTAGACAGTGTTTCAGTACTGCCACGCCCCTTGCTCCGTCTTTCAACAAAAGCTTTTGGCGAATCCGGCACTTCTCACTCGTGATGTGGAAGCTGTCCTCAGTAAAATGCGCAGCACACAATAGCAAATTGGGGTTATAATGCTCAGGAACAGAGTTAAAAAATAAATTGCAACCACTGTTTCCTGACATCATCCGCTTTCGGAAG